CAGCGTAAACGCCTCTACTTTCTGGTTTGGGGGGGAGGGGCGGGGGACATTTGAATTGAATTTATTTTTTTCCTTAACGGGTTTAAAATACTTTATTTGTAAATATGTATTCGTAATCATGCAACATAAAAATAATTGTTGTGAATATTGTTGTCAGCTGATCTGCTTGGTCACGTGACGCGGAAACGCCTCTACTTTCTGGTTTGGGGGGGAGGGGCGGGGGACATTTGAATTTAATTTATTTTTTCATTAACGGGTTTAAAATACTTTAATTTATTTGTAAATATGTATTCGTAATCATGTAACATAAAAATAATTGTTAATATTGTTGTCAGCTGATCTGCTTGGTCACGTGACTGCATCAGCTTCCGATTCACGTGAGTTGCGTCCGTTTCACCAAGGAGCAAAAAAAAAAAATGAAGTCGACAAAAAGTGCTTCTACTTAATTCAATTTATTTTTTTGTTGTCTTTTGGCTGACTGGAGACGGAAAAGATTCAGTGCGGAAGTCGATCGGGTAAGGCGTCAAAGCGGAAAGCCGTTGACATCCACCATACATTTTAGGAATGCAGTCGAATCTTTTTGCTTGTATTTATGACACCAAAGTTGACTTTTCCGCATCGAAACCGTTTTTTTTTGTTTTTTTTTTGGGGGGGGGCGTTTTGAAACTTGGCCGAATTAATACCACTTGGATAAACCTTCCACAGATCGTGTCTTCGTCTACTTTTAACGTCTTTAAACGACAAATAGGCACGCAAATGGCTACTTTGAAGGAGCACTTTTGGCTCCTCGGTTTTCCGTTAATTTCATTTGACTTGTTTGGCTCGTGCGCGCGTGTGGAATGCACGAACAAGAAGAAGAAGAGCACCAGGGGGCAAAGTCTCTGTGATAAGATAGTTGCTTCGGTGTCATCTCTCTCCAAACATTCACTCTCATACGTTAATCATCATCACAACAATTGTAACTTACAAAAAGTGGACCAGATGCGTTATTTAGTTGCTAAAGGTTATTTGAAAATGTGTCGGAAAAGTTGACAGTATGTTAGCCAGAGATGTGAAAGGACGACCAGATGATATTTGATGTATTTTTCAGACTTCCGACATGCCGTCCAACAAATCGGTGTCAGAGGCGCCCATCACACAACTGCTCAACTGCAGGATCCTGCGGGACCATCGGCTGCAGAAGTGAGCGAAGCATGCTTGCATCTCATACACAAATATTTCCACACAGCGAATCTAATCCATCTGACTTTGAATTTTTGGAAGCAAGCGCTCAATCAACATTTTTTTTGGCCATCTGACTTTCAATTGAATTTGAAGACATATCATTTTTTGCAGCCCAAGTTGAGTGCTATTTTTTTGCATGAAAATTCTCTCTAAAAATGTTTGCTGCCTTCTGAGAGGCCCAGCTCTATCAAAAGCTTGTGTTAAGTTTTGGCCTGGAAACAATCTCGAGCATTTCAGGCTCAACCCCCACTGCTCAACATCACCAACTTTTTGTGTGTGTGTGTGTGTGTGTGTGTGTGTGTGTGTATGGCGAGCAGTGAGGACCTGTGGGTGCGTGAAGGGAAGATCTGTGTGTGTGTGTGTGTGTGTGTGGCGTGCAGTGAGGACCTGTGGGTGCGCGAAGGGAAGATCCTGGATCCGGAGAAGCTCTTCTTTGACGAGCAGGCGTATGCCGACAATCAGGTGGATTGCGGCGGCGCTATCGTGGCGCCGGGATTCATCGACGTGCAAATCAACGGTGGGATCAGTGAGTCTCGCTGTTGTTACTCGTGCATGTGCGTGCGGCTGACAGCAGTGATGTGCACTCACCCCACAGGAGGTTACGGCGTGGACTTCTCTCAGGCCTCCGATGACGTCAGCGCCGGTATCTCTTTGGTGGCCCAGAAGCTTCTGGAACACGGCGTCACATCCTTCTGTCCCACGTTGGTCACGTCGCCACCGCACATCTACCACAAGGTCATGACGACGCCAACTATCACCATGGGCGGAGCCAATCAATTGGACATCATAATGAACCCCAATCCCTTGTGTCTTTCAGGTCCTACCTCAGATCAAAGTGCAGGACGGCGGCCCCCATGGCGCAGGCGTCCTCGGTGAGCTCCCCTTTTGTTGTGTCGGCGCCAGGAACTGTCAGCCGAGTTTATACTGTATGTGGGTGTTTTTTTTTCTGTGTAGGCGTCCACTTGGAGGGCCCCTTTATCAGCGCCAAGAAAAAGGGCGCACACCCCGAGCGCTTCCTGCGCACGTTCTCAGGGCCTGACACGGTCATGGCGGACCTGATGGACGTCTATGGCGGGCTGGACAATGTGGCCTTGGTGACACTGGCTCCTGAGCTGGAGGGCAGCCGATGGGCGGTGAGCGAGCTGTGCCAGCGGGGTGTGACAGTGTCGCTGGGACATTCAGTGGCCAACCTGTCGCAAGCCGAGGAGGCCGTCCGCCACGGTGCCTCCTTCATCACGCACCTCTTCAACGCCATGCTGCCGGTACGTCCCCGAAGCACCAGACTAGCATCTCGGCGATTAGACAGTTCTTCTTCTTTGGAGAGGTTTTGATTGGTCTAAGGGGGTGGGGGAGGGCCGTTGGGAGGGGGCGGTGGGGTTGACGAGCACGTATCTGAGCGACTTTCTGTGGTGCGGTCCAGTTCCATCATCGGGACCCGGGCATCGTGGGCCTGCTAACCAGTGAGCACATCCCGGCGGGACGCAGTGTTTATTACGGGATGATCGCCGATGGCATCCACACCAACCCCGCCGCCCTGCGCATCGCCCACCGAGCCCACCCCAAAGGTCGGTAAACGCGCACACAACAGACCGGGTCAGGCGAGACCCCCCCCCCAAAAAACGACCGCCCCCCCCCCCCCCCCTCCAAAAGCCATTCTCAAATGAATGTGATTAATTATAATGAGCATGAACTCTGAATTGGTTGCTTTGTCGTTTATGTCGGCAAAGGTGGGGAGGAGGCTCTCTCAAGTAACAGGCGAGAAGGGAAACACCAGCTATGATTTTTCGACTTTCACACAAGCAGATATTTTTACTGGTGGTTCACTAGTTGGATAAAGTACTGTTGTGTTGTCGTCTCAGCATTCCCGAAAGGAACCAAGTGAAGACCGGAGTGAATCATAATGAGATGGCGTCTTGTGCGGGTGTGTATAGGTTTGGTGCTGGTGACGGACGCCATTGCGGCCATGGGACTCGGGCCGGGCCGGCACAAGCTGGGCCAGCAGGACGTCCAGATCTGCGGCCTGCACGTCTACGTGGCTGGTGAGCGCCCAAAATAGCAGCACCACATCATACTTCTTTTTAGTTAAGACAGCAAAAATTGCTCACTTCTACAAATTGCTTTCATTTTTTTCTGTCAATGAAAAATGTTTTTGAATGAGCGAATGGAAGTGAAAACTGTTGTTGTCACTCACGTCCACGTTTCGATTATTTAAATATGTTAATTAAAGTAATACCGAATGTTCTAAATAATGCAGAACTAAGAAGCATTTTTTTGGTATTTTAATTTAACATATTAACATTTAGCCATTGCTTTTTTTCTTACTGTATTCTTTTAACAAAACAATTTTTGTAAGAAATAAATAAATAAACAAATAAAATAAAATAAAAATAAAGTTGTCCTGCAATTTTGGAGCAAAAATAAAACTACAATTTGAGTTTGGCAATATTTCACACTTATTTTTTTTTCTTTCTTTCTGTCACTACGTTGGTGGAGGAGTTTGCATGTTTGCTGGAGTACTTTTGACAAAAACTCACCAATTCTTGAATTGGTTCAAGTCTGTGGGCACTACATTGACTTTTTTTTTTTGTTTTGCAGGGACGCAGACGCTGAGCGGCAGCATCGCCACCATGGACATGTGTGTCAGACATTTCAAACACGCCACAGGTCAGAATTCACGCACACCCGCGCAAAGGAAGAGGAGGGAAGGTGACCGAGTTGTGTGTTGCTTTAGGTTGCCGTGTGGAAGAAGCCCTTGAAGCGGCGTCGCTGCATCCTGCGCAACTTTTGGGAATTAGCCAGAGCAAAGGGACGCTCGACTTTGGCTCGCACGCAGGTCAGTTCGCTTTTTTGGCTCAGTTTTCAGGCTGTCAGCATTTTATTTCCATCACAAAACTAGTCAATGGAGGGAATAAACATCTCATAGCAAAACATCACGTCGGAACCGTCGCCCCTGAAAGGAACTGTTTGAAGAAATCTAAATCTACTGTGAGTGAGGGGGAAAAAAAAACGCCATCAAGAAACGCAATCTAAAATACAAACAAACATACGACAATCTATTTCTAATGACCGCATTTATAACCCCCTCTTCATATCCATCAATAGATAAATCAATAGTTAGATCAATAGAAAGATTACAAGACGTATCATATGCAATAAATATGACCAGGGGTGTCGACTTTTTCGATCTACTGTCCATCAATAGAAATATGAATAGTAATGGATAGATCAATGTGAACGGTTACAGCAACAGATTGATGATTGGATAAAGATCAATAGTATGATAGATCAATACATCGATAAATGGATTAAAGACTTGATGTTTTATCAGTTTCTTTTAGATAGATGACTGTTTTATCAAAGTTTTTTTTTTTTTTGCAGACTTTGTTTTGCTGGATGACGAACTCAACGTGAAGGCCACGTTTATTTCCGGACAGGAAGTCTGGAGGAAAACCACCCAAGAGCAACAGTGACTGACTTGAAAAGCAACACAAAGAACTTTTACATTTCATATTTGAATTTCTTCCTTTCTAGTCCCTCTAGTCCCATCTTCCTTTGTTGCTTTGAACAACATCTGTCAATTAATCCTTCAACCACACATCATTTCCTGTTGTACCTTTCAACGTAAGACTCATCCTCATTTCCCCAATGGCGGCTTGCCACTTTCTGCGAGAACGCGCCGCGCCCGCTGACACATGAGCCAGAACCAGTAGATCTGCAGGGGCCACAGAAACCCTGCCCCCAGGGTGCACGGCCACGGGGCCCCCAGGACCGCCTGGTGAACAGGGATGGACGCGTAGCTGCGAGGCAAAAAGACTTCACAATCCCTCCATGAGCCAGCATGTGGTGGACCGCCATGATTTCAGAAAAGTCCACCCACAATCCTTTTGCGGTGATATGGGAGTCGGGATGAATTATTCACTTGTCCCCTGACTCCCAAATTATTACAAAAGGATTTTTGTAGAGTGGGCCATATAGCTCTCACTTTTTTTTTTCAGCACCACCACACACAACGAAAGAAGCTCATTGAAAAAGCATCGGAACTATCTTGACTGGAAAAGAAACATTTGTCTGAACTAAAAAAAAAAAAAATCGAAGGTTCATAACTGCCGAAAATCAAGGCCTTACTTGGGATTCAAATGTTTTCAATCACTTTACAAAAGTTTTTTTTAGCCCATGACAAGTAAGATTTGAGATTTGAAAATAGTCAATTCTCAAAAGAAAGGAACCGTTTAAAAAAAAAAAAATAAGTGAGCAAATGACGACAGCTGAAGCAAGAAAACATCCCTGTGCTTTTGTTTGAGCTTTGTGCGAGCAGATTTAAGGACGGCATCAACTTTGGACGATGTCAAGTTGCGCTTCAGTTTCACTTCAAATGGAATGGAAAAAGTTTTGAGGGGAACTTTGCCTGAAGTTGTGAGAAGAATCCTGAAGCTCAAACACAGCATCACAAGAGCGTTTTGATTTTGTGGACTTCAAGATCCACTACAATCCTTTTCGCGGTGCCTTGAAACACAAAAAACTTACACCTTTTGCCACTGAAATGAATGTCAATCCTATTCATCTGTTAAGCCTTCTAAAATAGAATTTTGGGGGGGAAACGCTTGTTTTTTTTTTTTTAACACCACATTATAAAAACATGAAATGAATCATTAAATCATTAAATGAATGTAAAGAATTCAACAGTTCTTATCAGTGAGTGTTTTTGTGTCATGCTTACCGACTCGGTGAGCTGCAGTAATATTAGTCAATCTTCACAGAGGATAAAGAATATCTACCTGTGAGTATGGTGACATTGTCTACGTGTATTGTTTGTGTAGAAATATTTGTTGCTTGAATGGTGGTGGTGCACATTACGCTAAGCAGACTCTTTTTAAGAGTAAGTCATGGTTGTTTCCAATGTCCTCTAACAAGGTGTCATTTTGTTTGTTTTCTCTTTTTTGGGTAAACTATTGGCGACACGTGATTGGTTGTGTGTTGATGACATCACCTGCTGTAGGCCAGGTACAAATACGGAAAAAGTGCCACACGGCAACCCAAGAAGACCAAGAGTGTCAGAGCGCCGTTCACTTTGTAGGCCAGCGTGTCAGTGCGCTTCAACTGCAAATGTCACAACAAGACGATGACACATCTCAATTATCATCAACACTGGCACAGGCACACACCCACACAAACAGAAACAGAAACTGACACACACACACACAAACTTACCTGTATGAGCACTTTGGCAAGACACACAAATGGCGTGCTTAGCTCAGCAAGAAACACAAGACCCTGGAAGTAGTCACCTTTGCCCTGCCTCCACACCTGACACGCACACACATACACGCACACACAGAGCTGAAGATGTCAAAATGAAGTGGGAGGGGCCTAAGTGCTGCCACAGTTACCAGAGAAGCGGGCAAGCAAAACACCACCATGAAGACATGATGCAACACCATCAAACTCTCTCGCCGCACGAAGGCCAAGATGGGCGCGCTCCGCGTGCCGCCTTCGTCCTCGTGACCCTTGACCTCGTGCCTGTGTCGGTCGCACAGGAACATGGCGTACAGGTCGTACACAAAATAGGGCGCGGCGAACGTGATGTAGGCGTCCGTCAGCCAGTGCCTGCGAAAACGCACGCGCACACATGCTTCTTAGTTCTGCATTATTTCGAACATCAGGTATTACTTTAATTAACATACAGTATTTAAATCATCGACATGTGGACGTGAGTGAATCGATTCACATTCATCCACGTCTGAATCACGATGCATCTAAGAATCGGAAATTTTCTCCACCTCGAGTAGTAAATATCGACAACAAAGGCTTGGTCGCCAACTAAAGTCTGGTCACATGTACACAAACAATAGATTGGTCGCAAGTCAATATGAAGACATGTTGAAAAGCAGCAGATTGGTCACAAGACACAAGTCGCCACATAATGGACTGGTCGCAAACCAATGTGAGGTCACTTTTTTGACAATCAGTGGATTGGTTGGCACTTGGTCACGGGAGCAAACTGCAAGACGCCTCATTTGCAAAACAAATTATTTACCCTTTGCATGTGAGGTCAAAGGTGAGCCACCAAATTGGCCACGCCCATTTTCCTACCAACCTCCGGGATTAGCAAGAGACCCACATATATTGGCCAGGAGATTACACTACCAACGGCTGCAACACACACACACACACACACACACATTTACACATTTACACACTTAGTGTATAGATTTGAACACACACACGCAAACGACAACTTGATGCTGCTACACCCTCATGTGTCCTCGATGATACTCATGCTGCTTCACCACCTGTGCTGCATGAACCTGGCGCTGCTCCAACCTCACCTGTCATCCAGGAGGTTGCGCCGGCACGCCGAGGCGATGACACATCCGGCCGCCGCCGCCATGATGGCCTGGACAGACGACACGAAGCTGTGAAGACAATAAGATGTCAGCGCAGATGATTTACGGGTGTGTGTGTGCGGATATAACTTCATTTTTTTGAGTGGGGGATGGGGGGTGCTTCAAAACCAGCATTTGGTGAACACAGCCTCCGAATTTGGGCACAGGTTTTGTGCCCCAATAAACTGCAATCAAACGGCTGATTTTTTTGCAAAGGATAAAGAATATATGAGTGAGTAGCATGATATTGTCTGTCTAAAAATGTTGCTCCACTGTGTTCAAATATCCATTGCTCAAAGGCCACAAAAGATGCTAATGATTATCATAGCTCAACAAAACTGTTTCTCATTATGTGCTAGCATTAAAATAGCTAAAGTTGTTTGTTTGTGTTGAGATGAGAGTAAACTTCAGCTGGGAGTGGCAATAAACTACTGGATGCCTTTTTTTTTTGGACAATTGTTCACTACTTGCCAAACTGTTGCTTTTTGTGAAGTGACTTGAGTTCACTCCCAGCATACAGTATCCGAGCTCAGTTTTTTGCTCTGACGTCAAAGCAAAAATAAAAAAATATTGGCCAAAACACATAAAAAAAATTCAGGTCTCTCACTCATTTCTCAAGGGACCAATGCTAACTTGGGATTCAAAATACAATGTGGGATACACTGAAGACGTTAACGGATTATCTGTACTTAGGAGTGCCAGTACCTGCGTATGCATGTGTGTGTACAGGCGTGCGTTCTGACCGTGCTGACACGATGATGGCATCAGCCTGGTTCCATCCCATCAGGATCCTCAGAGAATGACTGAAGAGTAGGAAAAGTCCTGGAAAAAAAAGCACGCCTGCAAACATCAGGCCCAACATTTCTGCATGTCTTGTGTGTGTGTGTGTGTGTGTGTATGCATGTGTGTGATCAGGTGAGCCCGGCTTAAGGTGGCCACCTGTCATGACCACTTGGGGGTGAGATGAGGTTGGGGAGGGGCGGTGGAAGGCAGGCCGTCTCGGCCAATCAGAGAGCTGCCGTGTGAGAAATCAGTGCCTCGTTTGCATGGATTTGCATGAAGCAACTCAAGCGGCCCAATCAGCTTTGACTTGGATGGGAGGATTTTTGTGGCGTTCGTTGACTTGAACCTTCATGTCTCTAATTGAACCATTGAGTGCAATCTTCCCCAAATTGAATGCTCAATTGTGGAACTGAACATACATCGAGTCTGCTGTTTATAAAACTGAAAAACAAAAAAACATTTTCATTTTAGTTAGGGTGGTAGTAGTAGTTTTGATTGATCATAGAAATTTAAAAAAAAAAGGCAAAGGTCTTCCAGTGTCATTTTTATTGATCATCACTCTCTACGCTAACTTCAAGTATTTGTCAAAACAAGAAAACAAGTCAGCTAAAACACTTTTTCAAACATGAGCGTCATACTGAATCAACACCAGTAAACAAACATGCCAACCGAGAGAGCCGAGCGGCAAAGTCCGAAAAGTTCCATGTTTCACGGCGAGCCGCTTGGCCTTCCGTTGACAGAATAGCGCTAACCAGCTAAAAATACACTTCATAATTACTTCAAAAGGTACGCGGCCACGGACATGATTGGGGGGGGGGGAAAATTCATTAAAACGTGGCCACAATAGTCATACAACAGGTGCAAAAAAAAAAAAATAAAATGCTCAATTGTGGCCGCAAAATGATTTTCGTGGACCGTTACAGAGTAAGCAAATCGAGCGTACCCCCTGTAGAAACCTCAAATGGCAGTTTCTCGCAAAAGGTGCACTCCATTTGCTTACCAAGCCATCTGCGTTGTTCAATTAGTATGTGAAGACCACATTTTTCTTTTTTTGGGGGCCACGAATTGGTCAAATTTCTAGCCTACTTTACACATACGTGGCCACAAAAAAATAAATAAATTCTTAGCTGCAAATTAGTATATTGTAGCCCATTAGAGACACATTTTGTGGGAACCAATTAGTATTTCGTGCAAACGTTCAACCCATGTTATGGCCACAAAAGATGACATTGTGGTCACTAATTGGTATATTGTTACCAACATTTTGTATTTCGTGGCCACAAATTATTTTGTATGAAAGTTTTTGATAGAAACTTAAGTTAACGAAAGAGACTTTGGTTACTGCAAACGATATCTGCAAATGTAGGAGCTGGCATTGAAAATGTTTTTAATGACCTTTTAAAGTGTGATTCATGTTCAGCTCATTGTTTTATTGTTGAGAATTTCATTTTTGGATTACAGAATCCATTTTTTTTCTCTTTTTTTGAATCAACATGTTCAATAAACTTCTAGTAACCTATTTCATGGCCATAATTAGGCATTTCATAGACACGTTGCAATTATATTGGCCACAATATTTTTTTCCCCATGTCAAGTCTGGGGCTCTGTAAACAGTCATTTGGAACGGCAGACATCCTTTTATACACAATTGACTTTTTGGCTGGGCGGGGTGGGCGGAGTAAGAGTGATTTCAGTGGTTCGAATTCACCAAAGGGGGAAAAGAAAACATTTGTGATAGCCTTCAAGAACCTGTCAAAGTTCACGTGAGTATGCGGGTGCACAAGAAATAAAAGCGTGCACGCAAACACATCGCATTATAGTCACACACTCGCTAAGTGGTGGGTGGGGGAAATTAGACAAAAGCAAACATGAAATCAGGAGGAGGGAAGATGAGAAGTTGACACTGGTTGGGGGCCTCTGCAGGCATTTCAACTTCCTGAGATCCAGAAGATTCCTGGCAAAAGTTCCTGCAGTGGCCAAGGAACGGTGGAAGCGGCATATTCACGGGTGTCCTCAAACACGCCTCCGCCTCCGAGGAGGCGTCTCTTCGAATGCAAAAGACTTGATGAAAAATTTGTTTCATCATCTTTCTTAGCCGCTCAAGTGCATACGGAGAAGCAGACAGAGGATTCTGGAACGTTGTGGCACTCCCACCTGCCTTCTGGCGCGTTCACGGCGGCGTGGTGAGATCACAACAGGAACAAGAGCCGCGCCGGCATTTATTTGCTTGTATGCGGAAACTCCCTTGAGCACTGATTTTATGTCATTGATATCCTGCTTGGGTCTTTCCCTGCCATTGACGAGCATACTCATCAATTCCCTTTTACAACCATCTGAAGCTGCCCTACTGTGAATTTAAAGTTTGGAAACAACTTTAATGATACATAACCGCCAGTAGATGACAGCGAGGCATCTTTTTAGATTTTAGATCCGCCCAATTTGTCAGTACAGCTAAACCTGGACTTAAGAGACTCTGGATTTAGCAGGTGAAATCCACATAGTAGTGGTCAGCGTCATTGGCCGCTGTTTCCTTAGCCGCCGGTCGCGTGAGCCACACCCCTCCAAGTTACTACTGCACATTCTGCAGCGCATCATCGCCCGACTAATTTGGTGAGAAGAGGCAGCACAGAAATCGAGTATTAGCGACAAAGGAGACACGCTGTTTGTGGAGGCTTGCTGTAAAGTACATCTTCAATCTCGGTTTGTTTTTTTTTTTTTGTAAATGAATACCTCTTCTCAGTCCACATTTTGTGACCACAAATTTAAACTTTCGTGGCCACAAATTTGTATTTGATGCACACTTTATACCCATTTCATGAGCACTAATTGGTATATTTTTGCGCATGTCACACAAGTTTTGGGGCCAGAAAAGAGAAAATTGTGGGCAAAATGCCTTCAATAACAAAGCGTAAGCTTGTACTAGTAGGCCCAAAGTGGCACTAGTGGAAAAAAACAGTAGTAGTAAGACAGTTGTTCTTTACTAGTGAGGAGAGGGCTTACTAGTTGGAAATGCTCAAGTGGCTTTCCATACTCACAGGACATATCGAGAAAGGAAACACCACTGCTGAGACGAGTGAGGCCAGAAGAAAGGCGCTGTAGTGGCGGGTGTGGGCGGGCCGTCAAGTTCAGGCGCCCATTCTTATGCAATAACTTAAAAACTCACAAATACACGCACACACTCACATTCACTCGTTGCGTGAACACACATTGCACTTTCTGTCCTAAAAACAAAACACGCAAAAGGAATGACGGTGGAAAGATTTCCCAGCATTCTCTGCTGCCGAGCGTAAGGAGTGTGTGGACACCAGGAAGGGGTGCTATACGACACTCTGCTACATGGAGCGTGTAGAATGCTAAAGCCAACCAAAAATCAACATTTCTACTCACTAAACTTTTTTTCTTTTCAGCAGCAGAAGCTTTTTTTTTTCCTTTCTGTCCTCAGCACCTGTGATGCCGCCACATTGGGCGGAGCCTGTCGCCGGCACTCTCTTTTGTTGACGTGCGGGAAAAGTGGACATCAAGGTTGGTTGAGGCGGCGAGGAGAAAAAGGAGGAGAAAGCGTTTGAGGAAGGAACGGTTGCTCATCTCTCCTCCTTGCGGGACACCTTGGACGAGTGCCAGGCGGTGGACCTGAGGACCACAAAGCTGCAGGTTAGATGGACGACTAACCGCTAGCTAGTGACAGCTAACAACTACCAATGACTGCTAGTGAAAAATAAAGTTAACAATGCAACTGACCACTAAATACAGCTAATGACGGCAAGTGACTGCGAATTGCACTGACCTGATGAAGGTCTTGAACGCGGCGCTCTGCGGGTTGATGCACAGCGGGACTCGCTTGCCTTGCTGGTGCTCCGTGATGAAGCGATGGATCAGCTCTGAGAAGGACAAGAACCAAAACCTCTCGGAAAATCCTCTCTCATTTTCCCGGACTTTTTCCCTCCAAAAAGTAGGAGGATTTTCTTAGCATATTAAATCCATGAAAGAAAGGAAAGACATGACGCATAAGTCAGCCACATGTGACCTAAGAGGTCAATTAAGCGAGTGTTTTGTGGAGAGTCGTACCTTTGCCCTGCCACACGGACAGCAGGCTGTTCTCGGAGCTGTGGCTGAAGGGCCGTTCGGCGGCCGGCTCAAAGTCTCGGGTGTAGACGCGTCCACTGGGCACTGAGTAGCAGCACTGGCACATGCACGTGTGGTAGCGCAGGCGGCCCTCATCCAGGTACGGGTGCGATAGCGCATCACCGCCAGAGATGCGCTTGGCCTGTCAGAACACTGTTGTCAACGGCGGCCGAATTCGCGCGCGACGGATAGCTCGTTGACTCACCGGGTCGAAAACCAGCATGCGACACAGCAGGTGCACCGCCTCGTGGGTGGCGCCGTCCGATAGCATGTACAACACCGACAGTGACGGCTGAAAATGCAAATGCACACGGACAAACGCATACACATAGGCACACAGACACACGCACACACACACACACACACACACACACACACACAGTTATCGGCGTTTGCGGAAGGGGAGGCAGCCGACACTCTTGGAGCTTGTCGGTCGGTTAGCTGGCAACAAGGCAAAGGTAAAAGGTGACGTACGGGTTTGTGTGGCCCACGTAGGATGTGAGCCCGAGCGCCCTCGCAGGCCAACGCCAGGGCAGACAGCGGCGGCGTTCCCAGCAGGTCTGTGATCAGGTCCAGCTGAAGAGCACCATACCAAGCTCACGTTAGGCAACCAATGGAAGCTTTCAAAAGAGGATTTCAAGCCTGGAACGGGACTTCAAACTGGGCTTTGGGGACGGGTTTCAAATTACGGTTTTAAGCCTCAATTGGTGTTTCAAATTTAGGTTACAATTCAAGATCATAAGCTTTTGAAATACATATAGAGTAGAACCTAGGTTTTGGTATGCCACGGGTTTTTTTGAAGCATTAAAGAGGAGGGTGTGACAACTGGGCATGATAAAGAAACCTCGGTACAAAGCGCCAGTCCAGATGGTGACTGTCAGGTCTGACTATATGAACACCCCTCTTTCATCAGACTTCTCTCCGTGACACATGCACACTTTTACATGACAATGAGGCACTCTAGAGTGAAACTCCCTTGCTCACTTGGGTGTGTCGGGACAGCAAGCAAGCTAACTATGTGTCACAATTGCCTCAGATAACGCTGATGCGAACAAAGTGGCTCAAGTTCTTATGGAGTGGAAAGAGGGGGTGACTCGTGTCATCAGGCGCCAATTAAACTAGGACCACAACTAACAATTATTTTAATCATTAATTAATCTCTCCATTATTTTTGGGAGCATCTTGATACCAACGGCGATTTGAGGGTGGTCACCTGCTGGATGGGACTCTGCGCCTGGAAAAGGATGCGGCGGCCCAGCAGTTCAGCAAAGATGCAGCCCACCGACCACACGTCGATGGCCGAGCCGTAATGGCGGCAGCCCATCAGGACCTCGGGCGCTCTGTAGTACTGCGTCACCACCTCCTGGGTCATGTGACGTGACGGGTCTGGCTCTTCCACGCGCGCCAGTCCAAAATCGCAAATCTGACCAGTACAAAGTAAAAGGCAATTATAAGTTAAGTTCGTTTTTGAAGGGGGATATATTACTTGCTGGGGCATCCTGTCTTTCAACATACATGAAAACAACTTAAATGTTGCAGCACTTTTTCTCTTTGAATGCTGGCCAAAAAAAAATAATAATAATAGACGGCTCTCACGAAATGATTGCTTCATTCTAGAATTTAAGAAGAAGCAAGTGCATGGACTGGACGGACGGACCTTGAGCAGGCAGTTGCTGTTGACCAGAAGGTTCCCGGGTTTGATGTCGCGGTGCAGAATGCCAGCAGAATGGAGATACTTGAGGCCTGCACAGAGCAGTCGCACGTCATCTGCAAGAGGCCACAACAAAACCGAGGACGGGGGAAAGGGCTCGCGGATGATCACCTCGCAGGATCTGGTAGAGGAAGACCTTGATGTGGTCGCTGGTGAGTGGCTGAGGGGACACAATGACCTTGTGAAGGTCGCTTTGCATCAGCTCCGTGATCACGTAGCTGCGCTTCCTGTCAAGGCCTCACAAGTCGACTTCAGAATCACAAGGGGTAATGAGTCAAAAAGACAGAAATTTGAAGGACAATTGGAGAAGTAGTGCTAAGTTGTTTTGTTCCAAAAATGTTCATTAAATTGCTTAATAGTAATTTTTGTTGGGAAGGTTAAATTAGCGATTTCATTCCCCATTTTACATTAAAATTCTTAGTAACGAAAAATAAATTTAAAAAAATACAATAAATTGGTGGGTTTCACATATTTGCAATGAAACATTTAGTAATGGGAGTTAACGCTGTATCAACAATATTGATTGGTTTTCTTTGTTCTTTGGGATACTAAAATATGACCTGGGTCAAGGTGACCCAGTAAAGCAAGCTAACAGAAAAAGATTGTGCGCCGACAATATGATGCAAAATCGACCGGCATGAACAAGGATACATCTCCTCGAAACAGTCAATCTGCGGCGGCTGTAAGATGTCTAACGCCGACAGGACCTGAAACACGACGACGGTCAGTGACATCACCGTTGACATCATCATTACAAAAACGAGGCCGGTGCGTTTACGTTGTCATGTTTGAAGAAGCACAGCATACGCAGCTCCCGGAAGACACGCTTGCACGACACCAGGTTCTGGAAGACGTTGGGCATCTTCTTCAGCGCCACCTTGCGGCCGTCTCGAGGGTCCGTCACCGACCTGCCACACCACACAGTTGTGGTGAAAGCACTTAGTTCATCTGTTGCCAAGCAGGGGTGGCCAGAAATAACAATTATCCTTTGTGCTCATGTGTCTTGTGGCCCCATCCACCACGATTTGCTGGTAGCTATGCTCCGAAATTGAAGTACTATCCAGTTCCTAAATTCATCGACTGGGATTTCTTGAGTTCAGACAAAAAAGAAAATATTACTGGTGACAAGACAGTTTGCGCAGTTATTGAAACCTTGACTTTATAAAAATACGGTAAAAGCATTTAACCTGTAATGGACCAATGGCGAGCTCAGACATGGGGGGTTTTTTTTTGGGCGGGCGGCGGGGTATAGAGTTCTCTGATCTGGCTTAGAGATGGGACGTAACTCTGAAGACCGTGACAACCGAGTGAGACAGACTACTCGGAACAATGTATCAAAGGCCTGGATCAAACATTTGTGATCATGTGCTGATGACGTATGAGGCTTCATGCACGCCAACGCGATGCCGGAAATTTGCGTTAATGATTTCAATATTTGCTGCTGTGCAAAGCTTTGACGACAATTTTGGTCTGAGGTGTGTTAAGGGGGAAGGGGAAATTTTTTTTTTTTTTTTTTTTTAAAACAAGGCCTTACACCACCGGGGCCAGATCTGGCCCGCCACATCATTTTATGTGGCCCGCGAAAGCAGCTCAAACATGTCAACTTCCATGATCCTTTCTAAAAGGTCTACCAAAATTTTTAATTCTCATATGTAATAAATAAGAGACATACAGGATTCTAAGAATTTTCTTGTTACCAAACCTCTCATGATAGTAACTTTTGAATCAACAGTTATTCTTGACTTCCATATGGTTTCAGTCATAACGGCCCTCCAAGTGAAACATTAACTAAAATGTGGCCCGCGCAATATCTGAGTTTGAATTCCCTGCCTTACACGCACACAATGTTGATGAAAATGGACTCAATCATGTCTGGCTGACGCCGCGCATCCTTACCAGACCACACCAAAGGCTCCATATCCAATGGGCCGATCGGGCTCCATCTCGGCTGGGCTGGGCACCTCACTGGCCGGGTTGCTGTACGGCTGTGGCACAGCGGCCCCCCCGCCTGCACTGCCTCCAAGGGCATTTGGGTGCCGGGGGGTCCCGGCAGGAGCAGCGGGAGGTCCGCTGACGCATGGGGTGGCGCTGAGGGCGGCCGAGGGGGCCCCGCAAGACGAATTGACGTAGAAGTACTTGTGGGCCAAGTCGGGACCAGAGAACAGGTCACCGCAGAGTGTTTGGCGGCCTGCACCGTGGAAGGCCATTCTTGGAGCTGCCCCTCCACTTTCTCTTGCACAAAATGCTGGCTGGCTAGACGCAGAGGGGTCACGGTTGCAAGCTGCACATGACCCACCACCTCCGCCAAGGTGCCACGGCTTACATTTAATCGCGCAATTTTTTTTTTTTAAAAGGTGTTATTATTTTTTTAAATGAACACTTTGATTAATGCAGCTAAATGCTAAACGCTAGAACTAAAAGTCAGTGTCAGAATTAGGAGAAACTAATATTTTAAATGGGTATAAAATAAAATTATATATCAATGTAAATCAAAAGGACATAGTTGATGTTATTTTGGGAGAAAACAATTATTTAAAAAAAACTTAAAAGTTGGGGGTTGCTGTGTTGATAAGGAAATAACACTGCATAGGAAATCACATTTAGCTGAGTATCTATGAGCTAAATAAAGATACAGAAACGACGAGTTAACACTTAGCCGTGTTGCTAAGGAGTTCAGATTGAGCCGAGTTACTCTTTATGCAAAAGAAAGATGCGAAACTATGAGCTAACACCGTCTGATTGAGATAACAGTTAGCCGTATTGCTAGAAGCTAAAAATATGCTCGGTTACTGAGCTAACAAAAAATATATACAAAAAAAACTATTAGTTAACTGCTAACTTTTAGTTTGCAGTTAGTCGGGTTCCTAACAAGCTAACTGTTAGCTGTGTTATTTTGGGCTAACAAAAAAAAAATCAAAACAAAAACAACGCTCTGAGTTAGCAGTTAGCCGTGTTGCTAAGCGGCGATGACCCACATCTCTCGGCGACATTGACCTACATAAAAACAACACCAATTTAAAAAAAACACGCCAACCGCGCACAAGTTGCTGTCAACTCCACGGGTATAAGAAGGACCGCTCAAGGTAGACGCGACAGCACACGTCAAGGGCTGAATGGGGGCGAAGAGCGAAGACGAGTTCTTTAACAGCGATGATGATGATGATAGCCCAGAGAGCAGCTAGCCCGCTGCTAGCTTCTCTAAGCTAGCCAACCTCGGCATCTAAAGGCCTCCAAATGGTCGGACAAATTGTCCCCTCCAAAAAAAGCTCCGTCAAGTGAAGGAAATAAGTGGAAGCGTTGGCAGCGGCAGCAGCAGCTGCGTTAGCCTGCTGCTGCAGCCCGCTTCAAGCTGGCGAGGCCGGCGACTGGGACGAAGCGGAGCCCGAATGGGGGTGGGGGGGGAGGCGGCGGCAGTCAGGTGCACTTGGGCGAGCGTGATGCTAACGTTAGCTTAGCGACATGAACGACTCACAAAGTTAACTTTAGGGCATTTATTACACTCGACGATCATCATCACTATGCACGAACACGGGAAAGGATTACAGTTCTCGATGGAAGGACATCCGAGCCACCTGGGGTTCTATTTCAAATTAGACGTTACATTTTTTGGGGGGGATGCTCAATTTTTGAAGTTGTTGAATCTTCTGGACATTTTTTTGAGTGACCTTTCCGAGATTTAATTTACTTTACAGAGATTGTTTTTGTATTTGAGATTTTTTGGGGAATATTTTTACATTTTGTACAATTTTTCTGAGATGGTGCAATTTATACTGAAGACTATACATACATTTTGCAGATGCATTTTTGTTGTTGTTGGTTTTTTTTTTTTTTTTAACTGACCTTTTTGAGATTTTTTTTTAATTGAATGTTTGGAGATGTAGAATTTTTCGTATGTGAATACACAGCTCAGGGATGGGCAACATAAATGTGGAGGGGGCCGCACTTAACCAGATGTATGACAAAAATGACATTTGAAATATGGACAAAATACGTGCTCTGAATGTTTCATTTTTTATAATACATTTCTCAATGCATGTATATAAGAGCCACTATTAAAAAAAACAAAGGTTTCGAAGCAAACACAAAATAACCACATACTATCTTTTTTTTTTTTCCACCAGAAAGGGCTCTCGCATAAAAATTACGAATCAAGGGCAGCACAAAACTGCTTAACAGCAAACTAACTCATATGGTGCATTTTTTTCCCCCCACAAATATCAACTCACTCAAAATGTTATTGTTCAGGTGCTATGTTTGCCCTGCATACCATTCCAGATCGGACAAAAATATTAGGCCTACTTAAGTTGCAATATAGTAGGGGTAAGGAACTCCGGTTCCTCAGGAGCCATATCCTGCCTGTTTTAGATCACGCTCTACTTCAGCACACCCGATTCAAACGATCAGCTCATCAGCAAGTTCTGTAGAAGCTTGGGACGATCATAATCAATTGAATCAGGTGTGTTGGAGTTCCCTACCCCTGCAATATAGGGTGATATTAGATCTGGTGTGAGTGCAACCAACACATGTCTGCCATCTACTGGTGAATGGTAATTTTACAATTTAAAACTGCAGTCGACCCATGCCAGTTGCCCATCCCTGATATAGACGTAAATAAATTCAGTGTGAGAAATTCCAATTGAAAGTAGGATGGCACAGATGTACTTCCATATTTTTGCACCACTGCAGAGAGCTACAAAGTACACGTCAAATTCATCATTGAGCACAATCAACGTTGATATAAAAAAAGTGCAGGCACGCACGCAAAACACACACACGCTGACGTCATCACTGAACAATCCCAGTGCCGTCACACTGACACATGAGAATTCATGGAATGTTTTTTGGATAAAAACAGAAATTTATACAAAGTCTCAAGAGTCATTTTAACTCTCTTCCTGGCCTCAGTTTTCTTTGCTGCACGTTGACGGCAAATGCCGTCACGTAATGATGTCATCAACAGCCCCCATCCCACTTGGACAAGTGCGATGAAGCCAATATGTCTGTGGATGTGTTGGGAAATGCTGCTGCTAACACTATTCAACACAACTGGCTGACCTATATAGTGAGTTGGACACTTGGTAGTGCTGTTAGAATGTGCAGCAAGTACGTACACCTTACCAAGAAAGCGTAGGAAATGTACGACACAAATTCATCTTGAAATCCTTTGTAGTGAATAGGGAGTCGGGAATCATGCAGTTTTTGCATTCACTTGTATGTTTAGGACTTTCCAAATCAGCTAAACTGACCGAACTACTTTTACATAGTGGACCGAGATAGTTCCTTTTAGTGATAGTGTTGAGGACCTTGGTGTCGTGCTTCGGCACTATCTTGGTTCAGTGGAACCGGCTTGAAGTGAGTTGAGGAGCTTCATGTAGTGCTTTGACGCCCCCTTGGTGCTAAGGAACTATGTTGAGGTGAGTTGAGCAGCCTGATGTAGTGCCTTGGCGCTTTACTGTTGACTGAAGTATCTAAAAATATTTATATCGTTATCAGGGAGTCGAGAATGATGAAAGATTAACACCCACGTTTGGAATCATTCATCATTCCCGATTTTCAGTGGCCATTTTAGGAACTATCTAGGTTCACTATACAAAAATCCTTATGTTGTGATTATGGCGTATGGCATGAGTAAAATTGATTCCCGACACAGTCGCAGCGATCTCGGCCTCATGGCACTCAGACTTCAAATTCCCCACCGTTTGTAATGATGTCATTATTGGGACATCATCATGATGTCATCAAGGGTTCCTTCCTCACACGCCACCCCGCGTGTGCTAGCTGTGCGTCTGTGCGCTGATGCTGGAGCAGTCAGTCACAAGCAGCCCCACGCCGCCGGCGCCGCCCCCCCCGGCGGGCGGGGCTTCGCCCACGGGACCGGTGGGGTCGGTCTCGGCCTGGTTGGCGTGCGTGCCCATGTGGCCCTGCAGCTGAGTGGTGGTCTTACACTGCACTCCACACAGCTGGCACAGGAGCACCCCGCCGGGCCCCGCGCCGCCAAAACCCCCGCGGGCACCGCCGCTCTCTTTCCACTCCTGGCCGTGGTGCTTCTGCGCGTGGACCCGCAAGTACGTCAGCGTGGTGAAGCCTGAAAAGCGTAAACGGCACGTCATCAGAGCGCCCCTATTGAAATGCCGACGTCATTTCTACAACACATCTCCATCCTGGGTGAGATTTATTTTAGCGGGACCTTGTTTTAACAGTTTAGCTTGTTCTGTAACCAACCTTTATTTGTAGGTTAAATCAAGCACCCCCATTATAATGAATTCAAATGCCAAGTATATGTATCTGTGTGTGTGTGTGTGTGTGTGTGTGTGTGTGTGTGTGTGTGTGTGTGTGTGTGTGTGTGTGTGTGTGTCTTACTGCGGTTGCAGAGGTGGCAGGCGTGGTGCTGCGATTGGTTGTGGACCCGCATGTGGTCCGTGATGTACGCTGCCGACAAGAGCTTCCCGCAGATGTGACACGGCACCTTTTCCTCGTGGCGAATTAGATGCGCTCGCAAGCGGTCCCGCGTGGCAAACGCCGACGTGCACGTCTGCAGGCAAACACAGGGTGATGAGACAATCGTGTCGGTTGGAGAAGGGGAGGCACTAGCGGGGATGGATTTGTTACCGTGCACTTGAAGGGTCTCTCAGTGGAGTGCACCTGGCGTACGTGACTGTTGAGGTGGTCCGGCCTAGGACAAAACAAACAACACTACAATTGGGTGAGGAGTCAAGCCAGGAGAACCCCTGTGGCCCATTTTAGCCATTCAGAAGCCTTTAGATGTGATCCAAAGCATGCATGCGTGCGTGTGTGCGGCCGTACCGCGAGAAAGCCTTGGCGCAGTGCGGGCAGATGTAGGGCTTCTCCACGCCGCCCTGGTGCGAGCGCACGTGGTAGCTCATGCGGTCTTTCCTCTTGAAGCGCTGCTGGCAGATTGGACACGAGTACGGCTTCTCGTCCGAGTGCGACAGTCGGTGGCGGTTCAGGTGGTAGACGTCGCGAAAGGCCTTGCCGCATGCCTCGCACGCGTGGTTCTTGCGCACCTGGTTGGCGGCAACGCTGGGATTGGCGGGCGCGGCGGCGGCCACCGGACTGGGATTCTGTACAACAAAGGGGAGTGCATCTCTCCAATTAAAAATGATACCATACGTATGTCGTTACGTTGGGCGCGATACGATTCAAAGGGAGTTTGATTGGTGGGAGCGCTTCATTTCTTAAGTGTTGCCTCGGCCTTTTTATTTTTTTCATTTTGCCATTTGTAAATCAGCCTTCTTGAATTGTTTGAAATAATTTCGGTCTACTTTCTACTAAATTGGAACCAATGGTGGGCGGGTCCAAGTTCCTCACCTGCTCCACGGCGGCGTTGGCGGCACCCACCACCACCAGTGCCGCTGACGGGACGGGCTGTGGAGGCGGCTGCATCGCCATAGCGACGGTCACCGGGGCGACGGACACCGTCACCTGCTGGCCGGGCCGGGGGTCCGGGGCGTCAGGAGTGGCGGGCTCCGACGGCAGAGTGAGCTGGAGGAGAGAGAGGGGTATACTCTGCTTGGGGAGCGCCTTGGCGATGCCGCCGGCCTCGTCCTTGTCGCGGGCGGCGCGGTCCTTCATCTTGATGCCCGTGTGCACCGATTGGTGGCGCCGCAGGTTGTAGCTGTTCTTGAACTCCTTGTTGCATGTGGAGCAGATGTGGGCGGGGCGCGGTGCTTTGGGCGGAGACACTTTCACTGGGGGGGAAAGAGGAGGGGTCGTATTACATTCAGCAAGTGTGATATTTAGACACAGGGAGGGCAAAAAAAGTATACATTCCCCCACTACATCGTAGCTAATTATTGGGCCCTCACCGGGTAGCGGCTCCTCACTGAGGGCGGCCGTGTCCACGGTGGAAGGTGGCGCCACCAGGTGCTCGGCCAATGGACTTTGGGCCGAGCCGCTCAGCTCAGGCAGGAGCTCTGCCTGCAGGGGCGCCTCCTGCTGGCCCGGAGTCGACGGCGTCTGTCGACAAGTGGACACAAAGATAAGACAGATAGAGAGTAGAAGTGTAACGATTAACAACTAATCGATTCTCAGAGTAGTAGACAATTATTTTGAGAATTAATTAATCATTCAGAGAACTTAATTAAAAATTTTCCTAATGCTCTGTATTTCATCCTCCCAATAATAAATATTGTCTGATTTCTGTTGTCCTCCGTGAAAGTCAAGTGATTCTCTTTGCTTTTTTTTTTTTTTTTTTAATAAGACAAACCTCATCAAACAAACACCAACATCAGATTTTACTATGGAACGCAATTATCGAAAATTTTACCCATTTTCTCATGTATGTTAAAAATCAAACAAGGAACTCAATCATCGTCAATTCATATTTGTGCATTTTCTGTACTGTCAATTTCAAATAAGGTCCTTTTTTTAAATTAAGGAATGGAAACTGGTTGAAATTTGATTCTTTTTTATCAATTCATAGACTAATCTACAAAATAATTGACAATTAAAAGATGCAGCCCTAATAGATTGACAGAAGGAGAGACAGGTGGATTGGTCACTGGCCCGAGGTAAGTATGGGTGTCTTTTAAATGTCAAATCTTTTCAAACAATTGGCCTTGTTTTTTTTTTAAGTATCAAAAAAAAATCAACATCGTTACATAGCTAGGAACTTTGATTTTGAAGACGCAAAAACCAAATGCACCGGAACGAATTGCTTTATTTTGCCGAATGAATAAGTCAAACTTCCCCCATTTTAACGTGAAACTTTTTTTTTTCAGGTGTAGGAGCAATACGTGTCCACAAATGTCCCATTGCACTATTAGTGTCATAAAATAAGTCATGTCAGTCGTGATACATATTAGCGTCATTGTAGTGAGCGCGACACGAAAAACATTTTGTCATGTTTATAACGGCACAATGTTTGCATTGATTTGTGTCCCAAACGAAGTGACTTGCAGGGTCCATATGTGATATTACGATTAATAATATGCTGTCATAACTCAATGAAAACATTGATTTCCATGTACTTAGCTCTGCACCACGATGTCCATCATAAAAAATACGCGTTATGTTGCGCACCAAATACAAATGAAAGGTTTACTATGCACCCTCCCACCCGCTTCCTGACACCTGGATGCAGAAGGCAGATGGTTCACATCCTGACCCCCGTGTGACCTCTTCTCTATCACACCCCCTCCTCGCCGTAACCCAAGTGTAAGTGAAACAAAGCACTTGTCTCTCACCTGAAAGAGGAAATTGCTCCACGAAGTGTCCATGCTGCAGTCAGCAAGCTGCAGGCCGCCCGGAGGCTCCCTCGGCCGGGTAACAAACCAATAAACGCTCGCTTGCTGTTCAGTCACTCAAAAATGACAAATTGTCAAAACAACTGCACACCGCTGGACGGCGTTTGCCGAAATCGCAGTTCCTCTTCCTTGTGGACTATTTTCCCGCAACCCTGGTGAAATTAGATGCGCCAAAATCCCAGGCTGTCATTCCTGCTCCAATTGTGCCTTTTATGTAGTTTGTCTGGTGTCATAAAGTTCTGCATGCAAAGTAGCGATGAAGTGAAGAAGAGGAGGATGAAGATGCTCACAAATAATGGAAACGCTGGCAAACATTTATTAGCGATAGCTGCAGGAGAGGCCTTCTCGCGGGATGCAAGCCTCGGCCTCGCGTAGCGCTCCTCCCCGACTAGGATCCTGCCGGTCGGCCGCCGTTCCAGGCTTCGCCTCGGTGTTTGAATGGCCGGGATGTCATCTTTCTCTTTTTTTCCCCCTCACCCTCCCTCTCGCCCTCCCTCCCTTGCCGTCTTTCTTCTTTTCCTTTTTTTTCAAATCCCGTCTTGTCCCGCTGCGTCGTTTGTGCTTTAAAGGGAAAGTGTTGGCTCACGGTTGTCTTGTCGTCTCCCGACGAATAAAAGCCGACATTCGGCAGAGGCAAACCGGCGACACCGCCCCCACCTCCCTCTAGCCGCCGCAGTTTTATGTCCGTTGACGAACGAACAACGCCGGAGCGCCCCTGCAGCCGATGTAATTCGCAAATGGTCGAACGGTTCCGACGGTGGGCGCAAGTCGACAACAGCTGGAACGTGGAAAACTGCACTCACGCCAAAGTCACTCCGCAAAATCTTATATTTCCCTTTCGGGTGCTTGTCAAGCAGCCTATCTGCACGTCTTTCAATGGGTAAACATTTAGCAATGATGACTTCACTTCGGACTCCTGCAAACACGACGTAATGCGCTGTCATGGTGGCAAATGTACCCGAAAAAATATATATATACTGTACAGTACTCGTGTGCTGAATTGTTAATATTGAGGACTAATAGTAAACTAGAGCATGACCCATAAACTGGATATCAAGGATTTTGATTAAAAAAAAAAAGCTCAAACGGTTTTTCATAGATGGCTGCTTCCTTTTAGGGTTGCAATTAACAGTTTGCTTGATAATCGATTAACCTGACAATTTCTTTTTTCGCCTATCATTGAAGTGCAGAAAATGGACAAACAAATTGACGATGATTCAGTTATTGGTTTGGTCCCTGAGTCAGAAAATCGGCAAAAATACTGACCATAGTTTCCCAAAGTAAAAGCAAATGTTTGCATGTTTGATGTTTGTCTCATTTTGAAAAAGCATAACGACAATCAGTCTGCTTTCATGGAGGATGACAGAAATCAGGCAATATTTACTATTGGGAGGCTGAAATTTTACAAGGTCTCTAAACAATTAATTCATGATCAAATTTTATTTCATAATGGATTAGTTGGTGATTAATCGTAGCAATTCAAATTCATGTCCATTTTTAAAAAAACTGGATACAACAGATTATTTTCTTGAGCTGCGGTTGTTTAGCAGGATTAGATTTAAATCACATCACGTGATCAAAACATCATCCACACAGATCAGATTGAAGCTTATTTGCTTTTATTTTTGCAGCGTTTCAAATCCACCCAGCGGCAGCAGCAAAAAAAAAAAAAAAAAAAAAAAGCATAAATACAAGTTGTCCGAAATAACACATGTTCGCTAATAATACATTCTACACGTTGCTTATAGTTCATCACCCGTCCTACACGAATAATAGCAGCACAAGTGGGAAAAACACACACAAACAAAAATGATATTGGTGCCACAAAAACCTCCACAACAAAAATCCGTTTTAATCTATACCTCATTGTTTTGCAGCAACTTTTGTCCAGCAACAAAATCCTCGTCTTTCACATGATCAGCAAGCGAGCGATCGCAGAGCACACATGTTCAATTGAAGTTGAGAAGCGATGAGTTGAGCTAACTTCAAAAGTTGAGTTTGGAAGGCTTGAATTGAATGAGGAAAAAAAAACAGCACCCGTGAAAACACCTGCAACGTTCGCAGCCCCAGGAAAAAAAAAAAGACATGACAATCTGGCCATAGCAGAAATAGAATGGAAATGCAAATTAATCTCCCCCAGCATCGCCCCCCCCCAAAAAAAAAAACCACTTGTAATGTATATTATTAAAAACAATAGCATCCTAAACCCTTTGACCTCATAAAAAATTATAGTAATGATGTAGTTAATAGGGCAGCACAGTGGTCGACTGGTTAACACATCGGCCTCACAGTGCAGAGTTCGATTCCGGCTCTGGCTTACCTGTGTGGAGTTTGTATGTTTTCTCCGTGCCTGCGTGGGTTTTCTCCGACATTCCAAAAATTTACATGGCGGGCTAATGGAACATTAAATTGTCCCGAGGTGTGCGCGGATGGGTATTCGTCGATGTGTGCCCTATGATTGGCTGGTAACCAGTTCAGGGGGTACCCCATTTGCTGCATGAGACAGCTGGGATCGGCTGCAGCATGCCCGTTGCCCTTGTAACAATAAGCAGATTACAAAATGGATGGATGAGTGTAGTTAAAAAGACTGTAAAGTATTAAACCGTTTTTGCCACATTTATATTTTGTTTTTTTCTTTCGTCTCCAGTCACCCAGCAACTACCGGTACTTTGGAGAGTTTAGTTTATATGTTTTCTCCGTGCCTGCGTGGGTTTTCTCCGACATTCCAAAAATTTACATTGTTGTAAAAAAATTGTCCCGAGGTGTGCGCGGATGGGTATTCGTCGATGTGTGCCCTATGATTGGCTGGTAACCAGTTCAGGGTGTACCCCATTTGCTGCATGAGACAGCTGGGATCGGCTGCAGCATGCCCGTTGCCCTTGTAACAATAAGCAGATTACAAAATGGATGGATGAGTGTAGTTAAAAAGACTGTAAAGTATTAAACCGTTTTTGCCACATTTATATTTTGTTTTTTTCTTTCGTCTCCAGTCACCCAGCAACTACCGGTACTTTGGAGAGTTTAGTTTAGTCAGGAGAGTTTCTCATCAAATCAGTTGAAGATGGTGGCCAACACTGGTGCCCGCATGGAACTGGAAATCAAAAGCCAATCTTGCCACTTTCTTATCAAATTAATTTCTTACAGTTAAGAAAAAAAAAAAAGACACCTGCTTCCAAATAGAGAGTTACTTCTCATCCACCCTGGAATGTGTGTGCCCAAATCCAAATGAAATGGTGGGTAAACAAATGGAGCTTGTCTTGCAATTTAGAGTGCAGGTGTGCTCCATTTCCTTACCCACATGTCCAAGCAGGTCAAGGGAATGCAATTACGCTTTGCTCTTCAGTCCAACATATTTTTTATCCACAATTGTTTTTCCTATTGCGGAAAATGCGAGCTTCAGATAAAAGAGGTGCCTCCACTCCCCCACCAAAAAAACAAAATGCCGGCAAGAAATGTCGATTGCATCCAAACGATCCAAATGACAATCTGATGAATTAGGTCAAACGACCGCTGAATCGCAAAAGACGGCGACGCGACGGACACTCTCACTGCGACTTCCTGGCGGCGACGGCGCGCTGGGCGATGTCCATGGCGGCCATGTTCTGAGAGGCCGTCACCAAGTGCACCACACTGATGCAGGACTTCAGCGCGCACACCACGCCGCTCGCCACAAGGGCACAGTACACCAGTGCTGAAACACACACCAACAACACACACGCACTGGTTATAACATACGCACGCGTAACTAAAAAGACCAACATGTCACCACACACTAACAGGCCAACAAACACATTTGCACACTGCAAAACACACAAATATATACAAACTAGGGCTGCACAATATATACAGTGTATGTGTGTGTATGTGTGTGTGTGTGTGTGTGTGTGTGTGTATATATATATATATATATATATATATA